AAGGCAATGAAGCCACCAGTGAAGGAAGTTGGAAGGAAATCTGATGAGTTTAATTTTTCCTCAGCTTGCTTCCTCCAGTCTGCCACAATAGCCCCTCATTTAACAGTCCTCACGTGAATATGACCACAAAACTGGAGGAGAGGGAAAGATTTTTGGATCAAGTATGCCAACATTGATAGAAAAGTGATCACCTTTATGGACTTTTTTTTTAAAGCTTCCATAAGAAATGGAAAATTGGACTTCATCAGACTGGGACAAATCCATTCAGCTTTTTCCCATTAAAAGAGTTGACATTTTCCACAATTCCCCTTGATCTTTGTGCACACAATTTCCATCTGGTTTAAACTATTAGGAATCTATTCTGGCCAGCACTCCCTATGTAGTTCCCACTGTAGATCATCCACTAAGACAACCATCTCCAAATGAGACCTTAAAACAAATGGGAAAAGACTGAAATAATAATCTTCATCTAAGGACATTTAATCACCCTGTTTAAGACTGAAAAATTATAGCAATTATCCAAGGATAGACAAAGTTTTCTTTAGCAGTGAACTAGCAATTATCACTTTCCTCTGCCCTCAAGGGTGATTATCAGCACTACTTACCAAGCCAAACCTCATCTGCTAGTCTTGACCTACTAGGACAGGCAATGGGTGAGCAAGCAATGTGGTTGCGGTTGAAAATTGCTGGAACCTATCCACCAAAATAGGATATAGATACCTATAGGCACTGGTGGATTTAAACACTAGATCTGCTGCAAACTTGGAGACCAAGGGCTAGAGCAGACAGGCAGGAAAAAGCGGCTCCATCCTGCCTTATCTGAAAGTGAGTCAAACTGCCCACACAGAAGACGGCCCAAACACCCAGGGGCTGTTCAAATGGTGTCAAGCTGTGTGGTCCGAATATTTTTTTTCCCACCTGCCCATCATGCATGCACACCATCTCAGAAACACACCATGAATTCTGGTTTGGACTGTCTGGTTTTTGTATGTTGTAATTACATCCATTGCGTTATTGGTGATCGCATTTTTGCTTTGCCACAGTAATGCCAGGCTGTTTATATGCTGGTGAGAAGGTGTGCCTTTTCTGCCTTGAGTCAGAGTGTTCCAGATTCTTTTTGCTCCAGTTTTTAGGCCTGGAGCACAGCTTTGTTTCACTTGCCAATCTCTTTAGCTTCATGCATCATCTAAACCCCCACTCCCCACCTTCAAAGCGGCCAGAAGCTGCTTTATTTTACCCATGTGTTTCACCCCTAAATCAAAGAGAATACAAGCAGCCTTACTGTGAAAGTGTTTTGCAGCTTAGTTGCATTAAACTATGAAAAGTTTCTCCCCTCCATCTTTGAGAGTCAGTTGTAACAGTACTTTCAATACTTGAATTAGCTCCTGAATAGATGTAACATTTGTTTGCTACCCTCGGCATCACAGAGCAACACTAAAATGTCTCAGTCCAAGCTTTCCTGCACAGCTAACCATCTTCTCAAACACTTCGTCACCATCACCTCCCTAGAGGGCTAATGGTACATAATTCTAGAAGAAAACCCATGTATTTAGGCAGAACTTTTAATTACTCTTTCTAAGGCTCTGAATCCTACTCTTTACCTCTTAGCCCTGTGCCTGGAATATCCTCCTGAAAAAATGGCATCAAAGGAAAATGGCAAAGGGGATGTCCCACTCAGCTTTCCTGCAGGTATTGATTTAAAACAACAAACAAACAAACAGAAACATCAAGCAGCTGTTTATGTGGCTCCCTAACCTCTGTATTGGCTCTGAATTTCAGCAGAAATCAGATCGTTCCCAATGAGATGCTGCTTGAAAAGCCTCTATGCCAGTATTGGCCAGATGTTGTCTTTAAGTGCATATACAATTGAGCAACTATGTCCTCATTTTCAAGATGAGTCAGGAGTTTGAAAGGATTTCATAGTTTCACCTTATTTGCTGTTTCCTTTCAGGCCAAGAAATGAATTGTATTTTAAAGTAAGGTAGGAAAAATCTCATCATCAGAATAGCAATAGACCTTTAAAAAAGAAAAGAAAAAAAGTACTTGGTAGTAAATTTTCCAAATGCCTCATATTACTTGGTGTACTTTCTGGGAAAGGACAAAATGGGTTAGGAATAATATACCAATACTTTCAAAACATCCCCATACATGTCTACTCACAAGTAAACTCACAATGAATTGTGAGGCTTACTCCTAGGTAAGCAGCCTTAACTAGTCAGGTATTAACATCTTTTTAAACATGAAATGATCTTAATCTCTGGAGTACTAGAAAATGGCAGCTGTAAAATATTATGGAATGGGCATTTCTACCAAAGTTATATATCTACCTGTATGGGTCTGAGAGGCATACAGACTTCAAGATTTTCTGTACATACCTGCATTTATAGAGGAGTGTGGCAGATCCTGGACTATTTATTGGTTGATGCTAACTAGATTTTCCTCATAACACAGAATTACAAAGATGATTTATAAGCAATCTCTGGTTAGGTATGTGATTACTAAGCTTTCTGCAGGACAAACTATAATGCATTAGCTGTGGATTTCTTGCATCAGCAAGACCCTTTCCAATTTACAGTTCTATGATTCTGTGAAAGGAAGGGGTGAAACAAACTGCCCCACAGGAGTGGTGTCATGCCATCCCTGAGAGTGCCAGATTGAGGCCGTAGCAACTGCATGCTATGCCCCACCCTGGCATTTTGGTGCTGTAAAAGGCGGCTTTTCCACTACAGCTGCTTTTCCGTGCTCCTGCAGAATGCAGTGTAAAAACGGCATGCCGTTGGAGTACCACAATGTTGCACACCATGTGAGCAGGCGGACAGCATGATGCCATCTTGAAGGCAGTATTGGGGCATGTGTGAACTGAAGATCATGCCCCCATGCCACCCCAAAGCCAGCTGAAGCTGCCTGACTCTTTCACCCCAAAGTTAGGGGAAGTAACAGGTGAAGGTCTAAAGCAGGGGTAAGCAACCTTTTTGAGCCGGGGGCTGGGTTGCTGTCCCTCAGACAATTGGGGGGGGGGGGGGGGGGGGAACAAAGCACAAACAATAAAAAAAAAATTTAATTTTTTTAAAAAAAATTAAAATTTAAAAAATATGCATGCACACTCTCTCAGCCCCAGAAAAGCCGTGACAAAACCCCTGTGGAGATTTTGCCAAGAAAACCCCAAGAACAAGTAATAACAACAATAATCAATATCATCATGGTGGGTGGCGGTGGCGGCGGCAGCAGGACCGGCCTGGGGCCGGTCCAAAGGCCTCGGGGGGGCGCATCCAGCCCCCGGGCCTTAGGTTGCCTACCCCTGGTCTAAAGGATGGAATGTATCCTAACTTTCAATTATTACAGAAACAGGGAATATTATATATACAGCACACACACACACACAATTGAGTATTGTTATAAAAGATTAATTACCCCATATACTAAATATGCATTCCTTTTGCCTTTTTCTTCTTTTTGGGTAGCACTGTTATATTTATACTCAAGTAATCCTATGTATATTCTCCTTTTCCCTGTCCACAAATCTTAACTAGTTCATTTCACAGGTTTATAGCATTAACACCTCTAAGTAGTACTACTATATTGGTGCTGTTGTTCCTATTAGTTCATTTTCAGCATAATAAGAGATATCCAGATTTGTCCATTTCTAGGATTTGTTGGGGTTTTTTTTACAGAAATGGTCATAATATACTTCAGATCTGTGTTCTGTGATATTATATAATGACAAAATTAAAGCACATGATGATCTCCTGCTTCCACCAAGTTCTCAGTAACATCATTCAGAGCTCCCTGTTTTTAACAACATGAATCAGACTATAAGGTTCTTCTGTTTAAACACCTTTTATGGTTAATGAACATGAGAGTTCTCTTCTTGTTTACCTTATTAAGGAATGTATTGGCTGCCTTCACATTGAGCTTTACTTGAAGCAATGAAAACTTGTTGATATAAGGCTTTCTAAGTTCTAAAGGTATCTTGTTTCACATATATGCATTCACTTGTTTAAAAGGAGGTATAAGGATTTTGCTCAGTAAATAAAACTTTAGTAAAGTAATTATGATACTTTAGTTAGTGATTTTGTTAAGTTGACATTCACCTAGCTCCATGTTCACATTTGCCCTCATTGGCCTGCATTACAAACTGAGCCTCATTTCACCCAACATTTTTTGGGTTCAAATTGTAATCCATGCAATTGTAAAGTCTTCCTTCTTTTTTGCTGTCCCATATCAGAACTTCAAATTGTACTTTATAAAAGGAACTAATTATTTTAGCTGTTATTCTGATGTAACTTGTTGTTAATAATATCACTGCTGTTAATACTGTGCCACTGGAAAATACAGGCTAATGCTCTCTGGCTTCCTCCCTCTCTACCGCCCATGGCCAATTCAGATATTACAGAATAGAAATTCTGGGGAAAATGCAAAAACATTATAAGCTGCCGCATGCGGATGTTACCCATGTCATCCTTTCCCACATTCATTTGGTCAGGCAGAGTGAACACACTCAAAGAGGAATGAATAATGCAGAGATAATCCATTCCTGTTGAGAACAGGAATTTCCATTAAAAAGTCATCAATGGTATCCATGGCTATTACAGACACACACAAAACCTAGCTACTCATTTCTGCAAGAAATAAATAATTACCAGAGTTATTCATTAGAAAAATGAATTACTTCCTAGCTGTGCCTGGAATGCTCTGCCACCTTTGGAATAAACTGATACACTGGGGACCTAGGAAATGTAATTTTCCTGAGGCTGGTATGTCCTTATTATGGATGCCAGGTGCACACACAGAAAGACATAGAAAGGGGGGTGGGCACCTGTAGCCCCACTGTGTTTGTGTGTGAGAGTGTTGTGTAACTTCAAGTTGTTTCCGACATACAGCGACCCTAAGGCAAACCTATCATGAGGTTTTCTTGCAAAATTTGTTCAGAGGAAGTTTGCCATTGCCTTCCCCTGAGACTGAGAGCATATGACTTGGTCAAGATCACCCAGTAGGTTTCATGGCAGAGAAGGAATTGAATCCTGGTCTCCAGAGTCATGGTCCAACACTCAAACCACTGTGCCACACTGACTCGCTGTGCTACCAGCTAATTCTTCCAATTCAAAATCTTATCTTATTTTGAAAAACCCTGCTGATTTGCTCACAAGCCAGTCAAGCTTCCATCTAGTTACAAACAAGTAACCAGAACAAAGAAAGAAACATCGAACTCAGGAGTCTCATCTCAACAGAAGGAACTTTGGGATTGAGTACTGTATTCTCAAATAGGGGTATAATTCTTCATTAAATTTATTTAATTAATAAGTAAGCAATTAATTTTTTTTTTCTTCCCACTGCAAGAAAGTCTTCAAATGCTAGGAAGCTTTACTCCCACCTCAAGAAAGTTTTCAAAAACCACACCATTTTTTGCAGTTCAGGACTTTTTCTGTGCTCATGGTTGTTTGCACTGAAACTGCATTTTCTGCACAAAATAAACATGTCCAAATTTTGTGTAGAATAAGTCCAAAATTACTTTCATCTGAATTCTTCTTAACTCTCAAAAACATATTTTTTCAATGATTTTATAAATATTTTCAAATATTCTTTCCATTCTTAATCTCAAATATTTACTCATTATTCTTCATCCACTGATGTTGATGTACACCTTGCAACCACAAAATAAGTATGTAGGGAGCTCTTGTAGCAGCTTTGAGACCAACTGAAAGAAAGAAGTTGGCAGCATGAGCTTTCATAGACTCTACTTTCTCATGTGCATATGGAGAAGTAGACTTTAGTCCACAAAAGCTCA